GTCCTGTGGTTTCAGTTAAGAGGCATAAGCCAAAATCCTATTATCATATTTCACAGGCTTAATGCAAGTGGTGTAACTTTTCTTTTGGTGCTGAAGTGGCACAAGTTAAGAAATCAACGTAGGTATTATCTGTTTCATGCTGAGTTTTGTGACTTGCTGCAGAACAGATAATGTCTACATCAGTGGTTCCCTACCTTGGGCCTCCACATATTCTTGGACTGCAACTCCCAGAAATCCTGGCCAGCACAGCTAGTGGCAAAGGCTTCTGGGAGTTGTAGTCCAAGAACATCTGAGGATTCAAGGTTGGGGGCAGGGAAAGCTTGGCCCTCCATATGTTCTGAACTACAAGTCCCATTGTTCTTTGTCATACGCCATGCTAGCTTGGGCATCTGGGTGCTGAAGTCCCAAACATCTAAAACAGTGGTCCTCAACCTTGGGTCCCCAGATGTTCCTGGACTACAACTCCCAGAACTCCTGGCCAACAGAGCTAATGGCAAAGACTTCTGGGAGTTGCAGTCCAAGAACATTCAAGGCTCCAAGGTTGAAAACCACTGGTCTACACTGCCTTTTAAACTTGTGTTATGCTCCCATATCTAATAGGATTTGGGCCTTAGATTTATTTAAAAACAATGTGGCTGAAGTGGGAGTGATGTTTACTCAATTGGGAGATCATCATTTGTGTTACAAAGATGCTTCACCCAACATACCTCATGATCAAGACAGGAGGATCACTCCGCAAGGAGAGATCCAGAGGTAAAGGTTGCAGAATTCGTGGGTTGTGCCCTAGGTTGGTTCAGTTTTTTGGAAATCAGTGAAAGGCTCACAATCTGGGGTCAGGTTTTGGGGTGAGATGCTCCCCCTACTAAGACCACAAGCCACCGGTGCTGAAAATGGGTCTGATCCAGAGGCAAAGATTCAGAGCATACTTGTTGCCAGTAGATTGCCAGTATTTTGCAAGCTGATGGGAGAGAATGAAGGGTTTATCAACTATTACTGGAGCTTGCAAAATGCTGCAAGTCCAGTATGGGGCTGCAAGGAAAGGGATCAAGATTCTTTTTGATCTTCCCATTTATTCTGATCTTACAAAATTATAAGATTCCACCTCCAATTAAGAGAAGCCTCCCAGGATTGAGGAGCGGAACAAGGGATGTAGGAGATATATTCTCTGCTTCTCAGGGGGAAAGGACTAGAACTAGCAGGTAGATCTTTCAGGAAGGTATATTTTAGATAAACATTCAATTTTTCCTTGGAAGTCATTCACTCTTTCCCCCCCTATACATCTACTGACTTATCCTTAGGCACGTTTTCCTCATTGGTGAGAGTATGTTTATGCCTGTTCCCCAACTGCATGCATTTTTGGCCATTCACATTTTGAAAAAAATATGTTACATCAACATTTAACAGAACAAAATGTATCATAAGCTTCAGTACTGCGTGCACTTCCAAAGCCTCACAAGCGGCATTGGAAAGTGCAAAATGAATAATTTTGATGAGACTGTTGAAAAACCATATTTTTACCCCATCCTCACTCAAGAGTTGGATGACTGTGAATTACTTTAGAATGTAAGGAACGGCCAGCCGTGAAAGTCCATGTTTGACTGGTGATGTTTATGTTGTGTTTGCGTAGGGAATGAAAGCTATCACTGGAGGGTTGTCATCCAGAGAAAATGGATCCTGTTACGTTGAGAAGTTGAATGAAATTCTGTTTTTCCCAAATGCAAGAGTAGGGTGATACCTTTATTGAAACACTAAAAAAAATGACACAAATCCTCAGCTTTCATGGGTAAATATCCCACTTCATCAGGCTGCACACTGTAGTGCAGAAAGAATTAAAGGTATTGTAGGTCAGAGTCCCAACAATTCATGGCGGATGTTTATCCCAAGTGTCTTTGCATGTTGTTGTTTTGTCGTTAAGTCATGTCCGACTCCTCGTCACCCATGGACCACAGCGCGCCAGGCCCTCCTGCCTTCCGCTGCCTCCTGGAGTTGGGTTAAATTTATGTTGGTCACTTCGGTGACCCTGTCCAACCATCTCGTCCTCTGTCGTCCCCTTCTCCTCTTGCC